AAATGGCAAATCAATTACCTGATGCCTTTACAGATACGAAACGGGTGAAAAAATCGTATATCCCTGCTGTTAACTCTCCATCAAAGATAAATGTTCCTGAAGAACATGTTGATGTAAATAGAGAAAATGAACCGGTTCAGCTAAAGCGCGGGAGGCCAATAGGATCAAAAGATAAAAATCCCCGAAAGAGAAAGAAATTGAGAGTAATGGTCCTGAAGACATTTGTGAAGAAGTTTCGGAATAGATTTGTCTTGAAGATGAATCTAGAACAGAAAAATATGAGAAATCCATTTCATTCGCCCAAAAGGGAAAATTATGGGCTAGAAGTGAAATTAAGGATAATGATGGAATGTTCTTTTTTTCTGTATCCAAATAGATTGATCATGAATATGATGATCCAGACCCAAAGTCCATATCAGAATGTGAGGAAATACATGATGGGGAGAAGTGGAAAATGGCCATAGAAACAGAATTACTCTCCCTCAATAAAAGAAATGTTTTTGGACCTATTGTCACAATTCCTGATGGTCTAAAACCGGTCGGATACAAGTGGGTCTTTATAAGGAAAAGAAACGAGAAAAATGAAGTCACAAGATATAAGGCTCGACTTGTGGCACAAGGATTTTCTCAAAGACCGGGAATTGATTATGAAGGGACATATTCTCAGGTAATGGATGTTATCACATTCAGGTACTTAGTGAGCTTAACAACCTCTAATGGTTAAGAGATGTATCTGATGGATGTTGTGACAGCATATCTATATGGATCACTTGAAAGTGATATACATATGAAAATTTCTGAAGGATTAAAAATGCCATGAAGCATTAAAATCAAAATCTATCAAATTACAGCGATCACTTTACGGATTAAAATAATCCGGACGCATGTGGTATAATCGCTTAAGTGAGTATTTGTTGAGTAAAGGTTACGTCAACAATGTGATATGCCCTTGTGTATTTATTAAGAAATCTGCGTCAGGATTTGTGATCATAGCTGTTTATGTTGACGATCTAAATATGATTGGAACTCAAAAGGAGATTGATGATGCAATAGCTCATATGAAAGAAGAGTTTGAAATGAAAGATCTTGGAAAGACAAAGTTTTGTCTTGGACTCCAAATTGAGCATCTCCGAGATTGAATATTTGTGTATCAATCAAATTACACCAAAAGGGTGTTGAAATGCTTTAGTATGGATAAAGAAACTCATTTGAGTACTCCAATAGTTAACAGATTGATTGATGTTAACAAGGATCCATTTCGGCCTTGTGAAGGTAACGAACAAGAATTAGGTTCTGAGGTACCTTATATGAGCGCTATTGGTGCACTTATGTATCTTGCAAATTGTACTAGACCAGATATTGCTTTTGCTACTAACTTACTTGCAATGTACAGTTCATCACCAACGCGCAGACTCTGTAATAGAATTGAGCATATATTCTGTTATCTTCAAGGTACTATTAGTTTTGGATTATATTATTCTAGAAATCCTGAGGTTGGTCTGGTTGGTTTTACAGATGCAGGATACTTATCAGATCCGCATAAGGCTCGATTGCAAACTGGCTATGTTTTCACTATTTGTGGGATCACAATCTCGTGGCGTTCACAAAAGCAGACTTTGTCGCTACATCTTCAAATCATACAGAAATCATTGCACTTCATGAGGCTTCTAGAGAATGTGTGTGGCTAAGATAATATGACTAATCATATCCAAGAGGCAAGTGGAATAGTCATAAACAAGAATCTGACAAAAATATTTGAAGATAATGCAGTATGCGTTGTTCAACTCAAAAAAGACTATATCAAGAGCGATATGACAAAACATATCCCTCTGAGATTTTTCTCTTACACTCAAGAACTTTAGAAAAACGAAGAGGTGGATATCCAATATGTTCGCTCATGTGACAACGCAGCTGATCTTTCCACAAAGGCGCTTCCAACCACAATGTTCAAGAAACATGTTTACAGCATTGGAATGCGGCATCTTCAAGATCTGTGAAGAGAAAATGAGATCCATCTTTTCCAGGGGGAGTTTGCTGTTGTTGTACTCTTTTTCTCTTTGTCATGGTTTTTGTCCCGCTGAGTTTTTTTATGGAAATGTTTTTAACGAGGCAGCACGCAACTTCACAATGATAGATACTTAAGGGGAAGTGTTATGAAAGTGGTGATTATCCATCATGGTACTACTTTATAGACACTTGTCTATTCCATGCAATAAGTGAACATTAAACTTGATCATTATTCTCATCATTATAACACATGTCATTAGTTCCCTATATTGATAAAAGCTGTTTGTGTAATTCCTCCATTATTTATATAAGCAATTGTAGATAACCAAAAATAACACATAAGTTGTAAACACATAAGAAAAAACGTAAATAAAATCTTTCATTTTTCTCATGCAATTATTATAATAAACCGGGTTGGTTTAAGTTCACTTGATACAATCTCTAAACTTTGATATTTTTTTTTGACCCCTAACTTTTGATTAATTTCTTATTTTTTCTCTGTTTCTGTGTTTAGAATCGATTTCAAATCCTGAGTATTTGTGAGGTGTGAGTTTCGATTGCAAGGTTGATTCGTAGTTTTTGGCACAACAATAAACAAAATAAACATCTAGAGTTCTCCGTTTGCTCAACATGGTGAGGTCTACAAGATTCAAGAATGGTACAATATGTTTGTATATCCTTCATCAATGAAACGTAACGGTACAAGAGTTCTTAATTGCAACCAACTAAACCCAATATAATTTGAAAATGCACGATGTTTAATGTATAAGATATATGTAAATACACTCAACTTCCTCAATCAAGAACTCACATATGTACTTCTCAATTTTTAAGTTTCTAATAAATGTTTTCTATATAGCATGATCGTTGTTTTCTAACTTTTTTTTATCATCAGATTGGTTTCGAAGACTTCTCAAAGGCTTCATTCATCACTTGTAGACGGTCATGTCGCATATCACTATGGTGTTCATTGAACAAATCAAAAACGAAAAAAAAAACGAGAGCATGTTACTCACCTTTCATAATATGGGTGTATGAAGTTTTCCAGATTTACTAAAACAAATTATAAGCCAGGGTCATTTTATATAGAACCATTACTTACTTAAGTTCAAATTTTCAAATCGTTTTTTTTTTTTCAGTCATGAAAATGGCCAATTATCATTTTTCAATTGTAGCCTTTTGATATCAAGAGCCAGATACAAAAAAAAATGAAGTAGACACATCACAGTTCACAGAATGATAGCCACAAAATTACCTGATTTTCTCATCAGTTTTTTCATCGTCCAAGTGAAGCCAAATGTCCCACTCTTCGTCAATATCACCTTGTTCGCTTTGAGGGCAAGCTTACTTTACAATGATACGCAGACACAGTGGTCATGAGAACAATTTAAGTAACAAATTGCACACATTATGATGATGAATATAGTAAATTCGTGCTTGAAAGCATTTCTGTGTGTAAGATTATGATAAAACTACGTTGGAAACGTAAGAAAACATGAATTACCACAAAAAGAATGAAGAAAATGTACAACAACTCCAACATACAAGATCATATGGGAACTCATACATATAAACAAGCATATTAAATGCTTTTGGATTTGCTAGCTTAGACATATGCTAAGGGAAGAGTAAACGAACATCTCGTGATCATGGTAAAGAGACCCTTATATCTAAATATCAAGTATTTATATAAATTAGTAAATGATACTTATTCTAAGCATGAAAAAAAAAATGATAATCACTAGCAAACAAAAATACAGCTAGTTCACATTTCGATTTATACGAGTCAAACTACCAGTTCTTTTCAATATTGTCAAGATTTAAAACCATTAACATATAATTACAAACGTGGGAAAAGTCATTAATATTAAGAGTTAAATATAAATTGGTATTTTAATTAAAGATAGGGTGACAAGAAAAAAATATCTAAAAAATGTTTGATAGTCCACCTCAGAATTTTTTAATAAATTGCCAGAGGTAAAGCAAAAGAGGAAGATACCCTTTAGAAACAATCAAAGACTCAAGTTAGCCACATTTCATAAACAAGATTATCACTTAAAGAGATAAGGCAAGATTTCTCTAATTGGTCTAATGATACCTTCCATGTACAAATGTTGGTTTGCTTTGAAATGTATAAACAACCAAACATTTGAAAAGTTTAGGATTGGAACATAAAATTTAGTAACTTATATTTTTTTAAAAAAATAGATTAGATACAAACCTACGAAATTGGTAATTTTAGCTTGGTACTTTTTATTTACGATAATTCAGCAATGTAGTTTGCTAATTAATATTAAAATAATCCATATTCTTATTTTGAACCAGTCAAAGTTCTTGCTTCCGCACTAATCCAGCATTAGCACTCTCTCTTCCAAATCTTCATTTTAATATATTTTCTTATCATTAACGATATTGGTTTTATTTGTACTAAAAGTAAACGGGATAAGGTTTAATTTGTCCACTTGTATTAAACTAATCATTCAGATACTTAAGTATATTTTCAATATAATATTTCCATTTAAAAACAGAAAGTAAAGAGTACACGAATATTTGTGTATATCTTTTGACTTAAATATGCAAATCAGCATCTTATTTCTAACCAAAAGATTATCCGATCAATTGATCTGTTCAAGATTATTTCCCTTTTCCTATATTTCTAAAAATCTACAAATTTTAAAAACAAAATCAAGAAACATTTAAATAATACCAGTGAAAGAAGATATATCATCTGTAATGAGAATTGGATAAGGTTTGGGGATATGGTGTGATAGCGACCACCGAACTTTCGGTACAACGACAGGATCGGATTAAACGGAGACAGTAACCCGAAACGTCCGGCAAAGGTCCGAGAAACAACGAATGAAAACTCGCCACGTCATCAAGACCGTGTCAACCGTCAAAGTCGCCGTTAGCGTGCCTCGGACTATTCTACATTTAGAACATGTGCGTCTACATGTTGCCTCATAAATAATACGTATATTTATACGTACATACGTAATCGTATCTTATACGATGGTTGTCGATATAAATATAAATGAGAATTGATCCTTTATCCATCTTTATTCCATTTTTCTCGATCAGTGGTGTTTTTGAGCTTTCCTTTATTTTTTGTGATTTCTCTCTTTCTTCTTCGTATCGTTTCGAGGAAATACTCCTTAACCTGCGCCGGTTAAAGCTCTTAACCTGCACACAATCGCCGGCGATTTATGATATCTGAACCCCTCGGTTAGATTCTAGCGAATAGATCGTATCGGAAAATATTAAAAATGGAGGTTATGGTGGGATCGCCGTTTGGAATCAGCATGGCGGCGTACGTTAGGGATCGCGGCGGCGTATCGGCGCAGGATAAGACTGTACCGGCCGCTCTGTTTATGGCGGATGAATCAAGACGCGTTGGTGGATCGCAGATCGGGATCGGATTGAGGGTTAGGACAAAATCGCCGGAGGAATCGTCGGAGGAGGATAGCTCATCGTCGATAGGAGAGAGCAGCGAAAACGAGGATGAGGAAGAAGAAGACGATGCCGTTTCGTTCCAAGGAGGAGGAGGAACACTTGATTCGTTTAGTTCCTCTTTAGAAGACTCTTTGCCGATTAAGTACGTTTCCCTCTTTCTTCATCAATTTTATAATTCTTCAAAAAAAAACAGAAATTTAAAATCATATCATTATTGTTTGATTTTGATTACTCTTTCATATGACCAACTTGTAGAAAACTCACCAGAAAGTATCTATAATTTGTCTTTGACTATGTTCTTGATCCTGTTACACTTAGTATTTATCCAAGTTCCATCTGCTGTTATGTTGGATTTAAGGCTCTGAATCTCAGTGATTTGGTTTAAAGCTTAGAACACAGCTTTTGGGTTTTCAAAATTTATTCTATTTGAGTATTTTGATCGAGTTTCTGAATATTGCAATGAAACATTGAGTTTTGTAAGCCTTTTGTCAAAAAAAAACATTGAGTTTTGTATTGGTCTGAATACTGAAGAAGACATATATTTGGTTGTTTCAGGAGAGGATTATCGAACCATTACGTGGGGAAATCGAAATCGTTTGGGAATTTAATGGAAGCGAGCAACAGGAACGCCAAGGATCTGGAGAAAGCTGAGAATCCATTCAACAAGAGGAGGAGATTGATTATTGCTAGTAAGCTAAGGAGGAGAGAAAGATCTTTGTCGGCTTCGAATTTTTACACCTGGCAAAACCCTAATTCCATGCCTTTACTTGCACTCCAAGAACCCAATGAAGAGGATCACAATGATAATGATGACTATGAGGGCGGTGATGATGGTAATGATCAAACTGTAAAGTTGTTGGAGAAGAGGAAGAAGATGATGATGATGATGAAGAATAAGAGAGATTTGATGGCTCAGACTCAAAGCTGTTTCTGTCTAAGTAGTTTGCAAGAGGAAGATGATAACGATGGTGATGATGATGATGATGATGAATGATCAAATCAGTTACATGTTTCTTTGATACTTGTTTTAATTTGTTCTTCTCTTGTGAATTTTTTTTTTCATTATTTTTAAAAAGGGAGATTAGAGGAAGTTTCAGTGGTGGAAGATTTGATTTGTTAGGAATATTATTATTAATCTATTCATACAAAGTAGCACACCCTTAAGACATTTTCCCTATCTACAAAGTTTAAAGGACTATCACATAATTATCACATTACTGGTGGTTAAGAATTTAACAAGAAAAGTATTAGTGAGATAACCATAAAATTAGTAAAAAATTAAGAAAATAACACCAAGTGGCATGATTAGGAAGGTGGCCATTTGGTGAATTGTATACACGAAAATATCTTTCTTTTCCTTGTACTGTTGTGCATGTAGAGAAATTTTATCCCTCTCATTTTTCTTTTGCCTTCGATTATTTATAAACATTGATACAATTTCGACATCTTATCAAAACAAGTCCTGAAATGTTTTGCGGCATCTGTCATGATTTAAATTAAAAGAAAAAAAAACACAAATTATTCGAAGAACAGATATGTGATTGTAAATAGATAGAATTTTTATTTTGGTTAAATTAAAAATTATCCGTAAGATTACAAGTAAGAGAAATCTTGAAGGATTCTTCATATATGGTTGATGGTTCATATCTAATTACGTAAATTATAGAAATGTTTTGCCAGATGATTAATCTTGATAGATATCATACACATTGACGTTCGGATTTTGAGATATATATATAAAAATGAAATTATCCACTCTAAGTATGCGAGTCGCTTTCGAATTTTATAGTATACGAAAATATTTCTTCTTGATAGTTTTATTTGTAAGGCCAGAAGACGCAATGTAAAAACAACTTTTCACTTGAAAATATACTTTGCCAACTTGAAATGAAACCATAAACCATTGTTCTACTTTGACAAGCTAATTATGCACTTTGTGCGGCTACAATTCTTGAACTACATGGCTTTTGCGTTATGCGAAATTACAAGTTCCTTTAAAAAATAAATCTAAAATTAAAAGATAGTAAACTGAAGCTAATATAAATAATCAAGAAACCTGACACGTAGTCAAGTATAACCTTTGTTCATCTTTTTCTTCCAAGGATTAAACTCTAATTTCAATTAATTGGTGGGTGAACATCGTAATCTGATCAATGAAAGATAATTGTAAGAAAAAGAATAGTATTTTGTGTGTAGGTGGTTTCACATAGGTCATGTGTGATTAGGCCAACAGGTGAAACAATAATAAACATTGAGCTAAAGTTGTATATGTGGGCATCATGAGTACGTAGGAACATTTGCAAGGTACAATCACATACACACAAGACATACGTATGATTTAATAGTTTAGTAGATAATTAATTTGCGCATCTTAGGTTTTAAAAATACTAACTCCTACGATGCTACGAGACATTGTCCTCATGTGTATTTTTTTGTAATGATATTCCTATTACAATGTCGAGGATTCAAAAGGAACGGCTTTGTCTAAGCCCAAACAGAGCACGACCGGGGCCTCGGTCGATCAAAAATATGCAACTTTTTTTTTTGACGACAGATCAAAAATATGCAACTAGAAACAATAATATTAGCTTTTCGATATATTTTTTTCGCTCTTTGAGTTTTCGAAATATTTAAGGTACGTAGACCATATATATGAGATATCATGTAATTTCCAAAACTCTTATCTAAAATTTTTGAAGATTCTGGAGCTTTCAAGTATACAATTTTATACAAAAATGTCTTGGGAACATAATGAGATATAGTTTCCATATAAAATATCTAATTGGATAATGGAGGAAAACGTATATAGAGTGTCAAAAATCGGAAGCTTTTAACTTATGTGGAATTATATAAAGATAACATATCCTTGAGATAATTTTGTTTCCATTGTTGAGTTGTACACGAGATGATTTTGCTTCCATTTGCACTCTCAAATTCATTTAATTCTCAATCTATCAATCTCTTATATAATGGAGGATGGTTTCTCGATATCTCTCATCCACTTCTAATCACAAGCAAACACGAGATAAGAAAAAAAAGTTCATATCTAATATTATTTGAATCGTTTGAGATGGCGTCAACGAAGATGACTAACGATGGAAAAGGGGCTTACGTCACTTTCCTAGGAAAACTGTTAGTGATGGGTTTAGCACCCTTTGCTAAAAGCCCTTCATAAATTGAGATGAGGCCCATTTGAAACCCTACCTCTGCCTCTGGATTTAGATCGGCGCTTAAATATGGAAATATCCGAAAATATATTCGAATCGCAAAAGAAAAAGAAAAGAGAACCCCGAGAAGAAAGGAAGTTATCCTTATCCCGAAGGAGAAGGGTTCGATTTAAAGTGGTCTACGAAGGCTATATAAGAAGAGTTCTGTAGCATCCGTATCCGAGAAAATCTGGAATGATCGAGCCGGACAGGAGGTTGTCTGAAGGAATGTGAGTTCAGTCAAGGGAAAATCCGTACGGATGGGAGGTTCAGACTATAGTCGATGGATGACTGAAAAATAGTCGAAAGATGGCCGGGCTGGCCGAACAGGACGGACCATATCCGAGAGAAAAATGATTCTGTCTGGGAGAAAATGGATTATGTCCGAGAGAAATGGATTATGTCCGAGAAAATTGGATTATGTCCGGGAGAAAGTGGATTATGTTCGAGAGAAATGGATTATGTCCGAGAGGATATAGATTATGTCCGAGGGAAAAGGAAAATAGCTGAGGCTTTTTGGTTTTAGCCGAGTAAAAATGGGCTGGGCCCGTGGGCTAGGAGTTTGGTCGGATGAAAATTAATTTCTCGTGGGGATGGTAGAGCGGTTTAGGCGATATCCGAGATAAATCAAAGCTGGCCGAGATAAACTTGACTGGAACTGGGAGACGCCGGCTATAACCGGGTTAACTAGGTTTTGCGAGCATATAAAAGGGATTTTGAGACTTTTTCTCGAGACAGCCGTATTATTTGAGAGAAATAACGCGTGAGAGAGAGATTGGTCGAGAGAAATCCCATAGTTTCTGATTATCCTGAGAGTTGGCCAAGAGAGATCAAAGTTTCGCCGGCGATTCCGACTATCACCGAGAGATCGAGCGTTCTGTCCGAGTTTCTGTGGATCTGTTTCGACCATTCGTCCTAATTTGAGGGCTTGTCGAGGGAATAACCGAGTTTATCCGAGGATTTCTGAGCGGATCGTGTGATATCCGAGAACACTTTGATTCGTCTGAGAGAATCTTGTAAGTGTTAGGCTATTCTGATTTCTATTGAGTTTCTGTCGAGTAACTTTGAGCTGATCGATCTGAATTATACTGTTTCTGAGGGAATACAGCTTCTTGCTCGAGAAAAAGTGACCAGGTTGAGAGATAGCCGAGAGGTGTTGGGATTTTGCCGGACCAGTCTGAGCGATAGCCGAGAAATTGCCATTGTGTTCGAGTATCTCAGTTTCTGATCAAGAAATCACCGAGATTCTTTCGACTGAAACGTTTGTTTCTATGTCTAAGGTGAGTGCGTGACTGTAGTCTGTATCTAGAATCGTTGGATTGCTAGGTTATCGGATTTTCATTGATTGCTTGTGTAAGTTAGTGGTTTCTGCTTAGCAAGGTCAATGTTTCTGTGATTGTGAATGGTTAAGTGTGAACCGTGGTCAATACGTGATGTCTAACTAGCTGTGTGAATGTCCGGATCGAGTTCCTAGCTCAAGGGGATGTGTGAATCTCGCTTAGAGCAGTACCGATGCCTTGTGAGGCTTCACAAGTAGTTGAGCTGATCATAGGACCGTACTGTTTTCTGTGCTTGCTTGCTAAGTGATAAAGTGAATTGTATAACTGATAGTATGATGCGTTTTCTGGTACTGGCTAAGGTGTTACGGCATGACCGTATTCACTAAGTATTTATCAAATACTTATGCCTCTCTGTTTGAGTGTGCATGTAAGGATAAAGTCCAGGGCGAGTAGCTCTGAAGGCGGACTGGAAGGCAGTGAAGAAAAGGGGTGGATTAGGACTGGGTTTTGGGATTCATATTCTGAGTTTGAGTTTCTATTTAAGTACTTGTGTTAGTGCTTTATGAGTTGAACCGAATCTGATAAGTTAGTTTGTTATTGAGTCCGAATTTTGTTAAGTGTTTCTGAAATAATTATGCAATGAGAATGAATGTCTTTTGATGAATCGAACTTGTTTAAGTTTAAGAAAAGTTTTTAAAATATGCATGTTTTTGTATTCTGGCCGAGAGAAGACTCGGCGAGGTTCAGGCTGGTCTAGTGATAGACGGTCGGGTCCTCACAAGTTGGTATCAGAGCATGGTTGGTTCTAGGACAGTTCATTTGCATAGTTGGGGTTAAAGTCTATCCACCTTTTCACTGCCAGGTCTCTCAGTCTGTTGTTCTGTAGAGTGTGAAACTCTTGTATGGGGTTAGCTTCGGGCTAACCAGTTTTTCTGTTTGGCAGATGGCTCCGAGAAAGAGAACTGCAAGAGCTCAAGTGAATGGTGCTGAGAGCACAGAGAGTTCTGGAACTGAGAATGTGGTCATGGACCAGCAAGTGAATGCGGCTGGGAATGCTGCAAATGTGGCTGCGGCCAATGCTGGAAACGTGGCAGGAAATGCTGCGGGAGCACAACCGGTTGGGTTGGAGGCTGTTCTGGGGCTGTTGGCTCAAGTGTTGGAGCGTTTACCAGTGGTTGCGCCTGCGCCGGTAGTGGCACCGGTAGTGGCACCACAAGTGGTGGAACCGGCTGTTGCCGATGGAGTTGGAGAGGCGGATCAGGGTGTGGGGATTCCGTCTTACCTCAAGGTTCTGGATCATATGGGGAGGCTAGGAACCAAGTTCTTTGCGGGAGGTTCTGCGCCTATTGAGGCCGATGAGTAGAGGATGAGACTGGAGCAGAACTTCGAGTCTATCCGCTGTCCTGAGGGTTACAAGAAGGACATAGCTGTGCATTACTTGGAGGGTACTGTGCACAGCTGGTGGAAGGGAATCACCGGGCGTTTGGTGAATCCGAACTGTTCGTATGAGACGTTCTCTGCGATGTTTCAGAGTAAGTACTTCCCGCAGGAAGCTTACAATCAGTTGGAGGCTGAGTTTCTGTATCTGCGCCAAGGGACCAAGACGGTTCGGCAGTATGAGACCGAGTTCAACCAGTTACGTAAGTACGTGGGACGCGACTACGACACTGAGGATAAGCTGATCCGAAGGTTCATGAGTGGGCTAAGGGTTGAGC